TGAGAGCAGCAAAGCCTGGGTCTCCAGCCTAAGTCACCTAAGACAATTCAATGATTGCTGACGGTTATTGCAATACCTGGGAGTTTGGACACCCCTGGGGCAAGGGTGGGGTTGGATTTTTGTTTTGTTTTGTGCCTCTCAAACAAACCCAACTGCCTCTGGCTAACCCCTAGAGGTGCGTTTAGTTAGACACAGGTTGTAACACGTCCATTTCCCTGGGTTTTTCAGAGATCTGGCACTAAACTGTTTATCTCCAGATGGGTGTTTAAACGCAGCCCAGAAGAGCTTCTGCTGAAGCGTTAGTGGTCTGAAGAACAGGCGATGGGATGGAAAACGAGAGAAATGCCCCTCTGCTTAATGAGCGAGGGAACGAGCTGTGTATTCGGTTAGCGTTCCTTAGAACCTGGCAGCAGACTGGCCTCGAGCAATAAAAGCTGAATCGGAAATCTAATTTCAGCTCAAACATAAGCCCCGTTGTTGCGGATCGGTTGAACAGAGCCCCCTGCTTGCCTCCCTTGGGCGATGGTGTTTACTGTTCGGGATGTCAGTAATTAGATACACAAGATGAAAATGAGCAGGGCAATGGAGCAGGGGTGGAGACGTGGGAGGAGGGCCAGTGAAATGAGAACGGCAGCACATTGTTCCTTCCCTCCGACATTCAGCCCCATCTGCCGGGAGCTTGGCTGCGCAGGCCTTTGGCTATTTCAAACGTTTCGCTCTTCCGCAGGAAGAGGAGGTCGTTGGGTCTGGCGCAGCGGTTGCTTTTTTGGTTCATGTGCCGCTTTCTTTAAAAAGAGTTCGGGAGTGAATGGTGGAGCATCAAGAGCCATGGCACTAGTGGTACACGTAGGAAGGGTAGGAGATTGGGAGTCAGGGTCCCTGCTTTCTGCTCCCAGCTCTTCCACTGACTCACAGCGTGACCTTTGGCAAGCCGCCGTATCTGTGACTCAGGTGAATTGTAAAAGCAGAGTAGTACTTCCCTATCTCCCTGGGATTTGCGGGTTAATGTTATAAAGCACTTTGAGATCCTGGGCTGAAAGGGGCTTTATAAGGGCTAAATAATACACATTTGCTATGCGCTCTCTAGTCTATTGTGACTCGTAATGTTTCCATTCTCACCGATATATTTCCATTATAAAAGCACTGAGTGGCCCTAGCCAGGCTTGGTTGTATGCCCACGTAGAGAAGTCTGTGCCTTGGGGAGCTTGCAATCTAAATAAACAAGACAGGGAAGATGGGCCCAGAGAAGTGAAGTGACTTGCCCAAGATCACACAGCAGGTCGGTGGCATAGCTAGAAGTTTAGGCGGTGGGTATATTTTGGGAATGGGGAAGGTGCTTGTACGGCTCTTTGGGGACACGTGGAATGTGAAATGTGTCTTGTAAATATCCCTGTTCTGTACTCTCCTCGCCTCTGTCACAGGGAGCTGTCCAGCAGATCAGCACCTCTAATTCAGTGTTGAATGCCTTCCTGAGACCCAAACTTTTACCCTGTTTGCAAACCCCCAGCGCGCTGCAAAAAACTCTGCATTTTTGGTGCATATATTCCCATTAGCTTCAAAGCTGGCTCGTGCTCTGAATCCAACTTAAATGAGATTCTCTGTTCTGACACCAATATTTCTAAAAGCAGAATCGATCAAATTATGAGGTAAAGAGCACTGGAGTATCTTAGTGGATGTATTTCCCGTTGTTTTCAAACAAATGCATTTTAGGTCTCACTTTGCTGATGTGATTTGTGCATGTGTGGAGGTGGGGGTCAGAAAGGAGACCGAGTTCCAGAAATAAATAAATAGTTTTCCCCGAATTCTGAACAGAGATAGAGTCAGCTCTGCTGGGAATTCAGTGATCTGTGTCAGACTGTCACAGAGGCAGCAGTTAATTGGAGATCAGTGGTCTCGCTTAAGTGTCTTTATATTCCTGAAAAAAGGTTCCAAAATGCTACAGGGCTGCTTCCCAAACATCCCAGAATTGCTGAACGCAAGGTTGCCTTAAGTCCATTTTAGTGCTTGTGCAATCTGTTAATGGGAGAGCGAAGTCCTCTGACCGAGAGCAGCTGCGGCCCGAACAGCAGCGACTCGAGCTTCTCCAGCCTGCCCCACTAATGTATCTTGGGGCTGCTGTCGGTGAGAGGGTGATTTCTCCGCAGTGGAGACACAATCTTTGGCCTCTCTGGAGAGGGCCAGCATGGGTGCCAGTTGGGATGGTGCCTCTTTGGGCAGCAGATGGAGACCACAGACTCCATTCAGCATAGACTGCCAAGCAGCTGGCAGATAGTAATGACATTTGGTCACTACCACCCTGGGCCCAAAAGGAGCCATTGGTACATAGTTTTGTGTCCCATGAGGTAATCCACTGTCCCACAGTGGTTCTCCATCTCATTCACTGATTCAATTCCCTTTCATTGTATAGAGCTAGCAAGTTGGCCTCTTCTGCCAGAAAGCTAATGGGCCATTGGCCTGGCTTGGGCTCCTTAGCAGTGTGTTATGCTGTAGGATTTCACAGCCGATTCTGTCCTCGGCCCAGTCTGTCCAGAGCTGCAGCCAGCTGAGTTCTTTTTTCACTTTATCCCTTTCACTAAAAACACCCAAATCAAACCAACCTTGCTCGCACCGAGCTTTGTGCCATATTCTGAGATGAGACAGAGCGTTAATCCTGGCAGCTGCAGATCTGGGCTCTCTCTTCCGCCTCAAAGGCACCACCGCTCCTGAATTATTACTGAGGTGCCAATGTTCTGTGATCCGTGGTGTTAGACAGATGGCCCACAGAGATGGAGGGAGGGCTCAGTGTGACCCACATATCGCTCTGGTGTCAGGGTAGGATTGGGATCCTTCAGCATGGCGTTGGCCTGAACTGGAGTCTGCCTTCCTACTGTCAGAAAATATTTTAGCTAGCACTTGCAGGGAGTCCCTTTGTGAGCTGGGTTTTGAGAGAAACAGTAAACATCTGTGACTGACAAAATAAAACTCCTCTTGTAAAATCCACTGGCTCTGGTTTGCTCTGCACAGATTGTTTTCTTGCTCACTGAATTAACTGTTAGATGTTTGTAAGTATAGGAATATTAATAATTAGCATCTAGGTATCACTTGTTAATTAGTGCAATATATAATATTGTACCAACGTATGACACGAGGTGTAGTTAATGATAACACACTGCACACAGCCTTGAGACTTGGCTTGATATTTTTAAGACTCAGCAAGATCTGCAAAACAAGCCAAGTTTGAAGAAAATCGATTTGGTCGTTGAAGTAATGAAAATTTAGATCTACATTTTAAAAAATGAGGAGTGATCTTTTTTGGGGGGCCCTCAGTTTGCACATTCCCAACTTAAAGCACTTTAAAGGAGTCAAATTTTCAAAAAGCCCAGAGCACCTACTCTCTGAAATTAAGGCCCCTTTAGGGTGGCTAAGGTTGGGTCACCTAAAAATTGGAGCACCCAGAATTGCTAGCCACTTCTGAAAGATTGGGCCTTAACAGGGATTGATCCAAGGACTGACTAATCTTAACAAAACGCAACCAACACCAGAAATAACAGGATGGAAAAGCTTCAGACTGAAGTCATTGAGGATATGTCTACACGACATTGTAAACCCAGCTCTGTGAGACCTGGGTTTGTGGACTCAGGGTTTCCAACAGAGGTGACATGTGGGGGAGGGCATGTGGGGTCAAGCGGTGCATCAGGGCCCCCTCCCTTCAGAGCAGCTGAGCCGGTGAGCTGTGCTGGGCAGGGAGCGGCAGAGGCAGGGGTAGAGGAAGAGCTGGGAGCTGCTCAGAGGTGCCGCTGCTTTAACTCTGCAGGGAGAGGCAGAGGAGGAGTTGGGAGCTGCACGGAGGGGTAGCTGCTTTCCCAGAGGGGTGAGGGGGCTGCTTTCCAGAAGGGGGAGGGCTGCCGGGAGAGGGGAGTGACTCAAGCTGTTCCAGGGTTGTGCCCCCGCACTGTCAGCAGGCACGGGTCATCTTGTGCTAAAGCATCCACCCAGCATTATAAACCTAAATTTACAATTGCTGGACCCGGGTCTCACAGCCATGCTGCCAGGGCCATACTCCACTACACAGACCTTCTGACTCAGGTCTGCAGCTTAAACGCTGCATCCGCACTGCAACAGGTCAGGGCTTGGATTCGAGCTACAGTGGGACTTGGGCTTTGATCCACCTCCTCAGCAGGGTCCTAGGACGCTCGTCCTGAGTGTTGGCTGACCTGAGTCAGACTGATCTGTGTGTGGGAGTGGCTAAAACCTGAGTCAGAGCCTGGGCTTAATGTGCCAGGCAGACATCTCCTAAATGTTGGATGGTTTAGACACAACAAACCCTGCGTCTCAGCAGGGCGCTAGGCAAGACAATCCTTGCGCCCCATTCTAACCCTGTGATTCTACGTTCTTCAAGCTTTAACATGACAGAACTAATTTGTCTTCAAACATCGCTTGCTCTTAACTGCAATGCCTTTCAGCACGAGACATAATTAACTGAAACATTTTTCTAGTAAAACATACGTTTCCCTAGCATGGCCTTCTTACAGTTACTGATGAGTTTAGCATCACAACCACCGTGGCAGGCAGGCAGTTTCCCCATCTCAAGTGAGAGATGGGGAAACTGAGGCAGGTGAGTTGTTGAGTGGACAGGGCATTGGAGTGGGACGGGGGAGCCCTGGGTTTAATCTCTGGCTCAGCCATAGATTTCCCATATCGTCTGAGTAAATCACTTAATCTGCCCCGCCCCTTGGTTTCCCCATCTGTAAAATGGGGACAATGCTTCTCGACCTGACAAGATTGCTGTGAGGATAAAATCCTGCAGTTAGTGTGAGGTGCTCAGAGACTATGGTGAGGATTGGTATCCAGAAACAGAGATGGGGTAGGGCCCTAAAGAGTTAGATCGAATTGCTCTTGTTCTTTTGTGCTGCTCATGATGGGTTAGATGCAAATTGGATCCACGTCTTTCCCCTTTAGCTCGAGACGCTATTACTTCACTTTGGCCTCTGTGTATATATGCGTGTCTGTTTGCGTTGCAGGCTCTCTGAAGAGTCCGGTGAACAAGACGGCCCTGATGCTAATTGCAGTCAGCTCCTGCATCCTGGCCATGGTGTGTGGTACCCAGCTGTCCTGCCCTTTGACAGTGAAGGTCACGCTTCATGTGCCCGAGCACTTCATTGCAGACGGTAAGATCCCGAGAGCGACACCTCTGTGTAAGGACTTGGCATCCTGGGGCCCTGGAGCTTCCCAGTTCAATCTAGTCAGTAGAGTCCTTTGCTTTGTGATGTTCCCAAGTGCCTCCTAGAACTCCCCTTTCTCAAACCACCCTTCAGGGGACTTTCCACCCTTCACTTTATTCCTCAGCGCTGGGACGGCCTAGAAAAACACCTGGGGACAATCTGTTATAGCGCACTAACTCCCCCCTTTCCCCAGCACCCCACACACTAACCCTAAAACAATGTTTGACATCCCCAGCGGGGAGAGGAAAAGGACTTTTGCCATGGAGAGTTCTTTCCCCTCTCTACATCCAGGGAGAGAGCTCTCTAGGACGGGGTTGAGGCTCACTGCTGCATCAGGCTCTGTCTGTGCATACTTATTTTTTTGCATAAAGAGAAGGCTTCATTCTCGGGGGTTTGACAATCTGGCAAGTCCTCAGCAGCACCGCATTCACTCTCACTTGAAAAGGGGGCGGGGAGGTTGTGAGGAAGACGCGGCGAGTATGGAGTGATTTATGGGTTTGGTTGTGTGGGAGGGAGACTAGTCCTTTTATGTTGCATTTGTATTGTTGGCATCAGAGCGGCTCAGCTTTCCTCTGAGATTCCTCCCCCTCCCCAACAGGAGAGCTGCCGAGTGCATTATATTTGTACCTCAAGGGAAACTTCCCTGGTTCTGCATACAGAGCCAATTCAGACAGAGAGATGCCAGTCCCATGGAACTAAAACCCAAGCATGCAAAGCTGTTGGCACGAGGGGGAGGCAGAAATCTTCCCCCCACCTCTGTTTTATAACTCTGTGTCCGACTGAAATCCCTGCTTGCTCTGAAGTGAAGCACTGGGCTTCACCGGCGAACCCCGGGAAGCTGCATGGATGCTCTCCCTCCTGTCAGAGTGAAGCTGTTTGTCTCTGGCCCTCGCCGCTCTGGAGAACGTGAAATTGCCAGTGTTGGAGTGAAGAGCGAGAGGCTCTGAAGAATTAGACAAAGGCAACTGTCACTATTTATTGCTTTCGCCAGCTTGCCTCCTTGTGTTTGTTGTTTCACTGACCTTTTCCATATAATGTGCAGTGAGCGTCAAGTGTAACTTTTCAGTAACATGAGGGCAAAATTCTGAAGACAGGACCCATTATTCAGTCGGTTCCAATTCTTTAGCTCCTGCGCTCTCCTTACCGCCTGGGACAGGCTGAGGGTGGTCTTTTGTCCAAAAGAATTCGGTGCTGCTTAGGGGGCTGCAGTCACTCTTAGCTTGCACCCATACTGCACTACTGGGCGTCCGGTTCTGATCCAGTCCGGGGCTGTTCCCCGGAGACTGGGGAGGTGCTAGCATTGGTGGGGAGGACAAAGGCTTATGAAGCAGCAAAGGAAGTGACCCTTGAAGGGGCCAACTGCGGTGAGATGGAATTTATGGCACGTCCGCCTCACTGGGTGAAATGGTCTGGTCCACGTTGCGCAGGGTTCAGACTAGATGCTCATAATGGTCCCCCTCTGGCCTCAAAATGAATTCACAGCCATTTAATCCTGCACAGAACCACAAATGGTCCACGCATCCCAACCCTGGTGTTTATGATGACATTTTCCAAGGTTGGTACCCCCAAAATTTGCACTGATCTCTAGTGTGCCCCAAAACGGTACTTGTGCACATGAGCACTACGTGCACTGGCTGGATTAATGTGCCTGCAGAACTAGACCTGAACCCAGTGGGACCTGATGAGGTGTGTTAGGTTCAGTTTGGGCCTGAAAATAACCTAACACGCTTGGGCTGGGCTGTCTCTGCTCACCTTCTCCGGCCCGGGGGCTTGGCAGAGTGGCAGCTGCGTGCCCCACTGCTGCCGGCTGCCACTGCCTCGCTGAACTGCATCGCGAATGCGCCGAGGAGCCGTAGCGCCTCTCACTCATAGCACGCATGCAGCAGCCAGGGGGCATTGCCCAGCAGGAGCGGGGCCCACAGCCTGGAGACAGATTGTGGGCATGGAGAACAGGAAGCCTCCCCTGGCCACGTCCCAAGCATGAAACAGTGACGGGGTGCTGACCCAGGTAGAGCAGCAAGTGCAAGATTCGGTTTGGGTCTGAAAATGACTTGGCACTCTCAGGCTTGGGTCAGGCCAGCTGTGGGCTAGTCGGGTTTGGGTCAGGCTTTAAAATTAGACCCAAGCAGGCCTCGGTGCAGTATGGTACGGAGGTGGGCAGTTACCTGTTTTGCAACATCAGATGTAAGTCTTGAGGGTGCTACTTATATGCTAGGCTTTGAAAATCCTGCCTCAGCACATGCTGGATAGCCTATAAAAAGCAAACCTTTGAGCCCTTACCAGCAATGCTGAGTGTGTTTCCATTTTGCAGCTGTAGGGAGAGGGCGCGTGTGTGAAATGGATGTCAAAACGAAACAAGATACTTCTCCTCAGCCTTCAAATAAATAAAAAGAGCGCTTAGACCTTAGACTGGAGTGAGTGGCGTTTCCATAGAACATAGCTGATGAGTAATCGGTGACTAGGAAAGAAAACAAGCAACCGTTGCCCTGATAAGAGAGGCTGCTGCTCCTTCTCTATCCACTTGCATCCAAGGAACGTAGTGTATTCATACATTGTTATTTACTGTTTGTTCTGGTAGTGCTTGGAACCACCAGTCAGGTTCTGGGCCCTGCTGTGTTAGGCTCTGCATGAATGCATAGTAGCCAAATGCTAGTCAAGACACCCAGTAGTCATGGAAGGAAACGAGTGCTATTCCTAACTCCCAGTCAGCTACATTGAAGCAGGGAGAGCTAAGGTGACTTGCTGAAGGTCACAGAACAACACGGTGGTGTGGCTAGAACCCAGGAGCCCAGACTCCTGGTCCATAATTCGAACCATCTGATGACACTGCACCCTCGAAAACTATGATGAAATATAAGGTGGTGACTCCATAGCATTAAAGTGAAAATGGAGCCGGTTATATTCCTGTCTCCAGGAAGAGGGTGGTACTGCAAATTATGCAAATACCCAGAACATTCAAGCAGAGATGACAATGAAATACCAATAAAACAGATTAATCTCTCTGGAACTGGGGGAAAACAGGCTGATCTCCCATCCCGCCTTAATGACTTTTCTAAAGAGAAAGTGGTGAGAGGAGTGGTGAAAAGGTTTGCAGGAGAAGGGAAATGAGATTTGCAACGAAACTGTAAAATATCATTATAAACTGTGAAAACTTTTTTTTCTTTTGTAATGGGAAATGGGGTCAAGGGCTCCAGATGGAACTGGGAGCAACAGAGACAATTTGCAGCAAAGATCTGTTTTCCTGAAATCTCATCATGAGATGCACCGGCACTCTGAGGCCCTGTCTTGGAACGGAGAATTGCTTAGAGCCATTCTTTCCTTTAAATAACAACAAATCCCCAGGTAGTGCCAGGCTGGCAGCAAAATATTATAAAACATTTAAGGAGATCACAGCATTGAGCTGGGGTGGGAAATTTTAATGACACCCAGGGAAGTGTTCTTGGCTTGGTTTCTCCCCAGCACAGATCGTTGCTAATTTCACTCTTCGGCAAAGGGAATAGCCGAGTTCAAAACCGGAGGCTAATTCTTCTGTTTGGACAGCAGCCCTTAATGTATGTAGAAAAGAGAGGGGGCAGGAAGGAGGAGAGGCAAATTTCCTCTCTCCTGCTCTGCATGGGATGAATTGGGCGGAACAGAAGGGAATTGGCTTGGGGACCAGAAGGAAGATGGAGCTAGTGGCTCATTGTCAGAGTTAGACCTTGTCTATACTGGGTTGTTTGAGCACAAGTGGGTGCAAATCACCATGTAGATGTCCTGCCCTGGTAAAAGATCGGGCTTACATAAGTGACTTGACCCTGGTTTTTTACTGGGATGAGCTGCACCACAGAGCTCTGCCCGGGACTGTTTGCAATCCCGCTCCCGTCCCACTCCGGCTATTACGCCAGTGGGTCTGGCGGGACCCACAGAATCCCAATCCTACTGCCAGGCTCTACGCTAGTTGCACACAGGGCTCTCAAGCCCAGTTTTGCACCGGTGCAGCGTCTTCATCAGGGGTGTGTGCCCCTGGAGCTACATGGATGTAATGACACCCCTTCAAGCTTCCCCAGGTTAGACAAGCCTTTGGAGCTTTGATCAGTGTTAAAGCAGAGTATTGTGTGAGCCATAAGCGTGTGCTCAACGTCTTTCAGACATTGCCGTGAACATAAATACTCGAGGCTCTGTCAGCAGCACGCTCTGGTGTTTGCGGAGTGATGAGCCAGCCTCTGAGGAAGGGGAGGGCTGGTGCACTTGTTCAACACAGTCCCAGGTGTGAGGCTAGACTGGCCTCAAAGATCCCCTTTGAGGCACGGTTTCTTAATAGACGCTGTTGGCCGCGGCAAATCTCAGAGTGGAGCCGCTGCTAGCAGCATCCTCAGCTCTACAAGAAACGCTGTCAAAGGGAGAGCCTGGAAAAACAAACAAACCCCGTCCTTTTGTAGCAGATAAATGGGAGCTTGCTCAGATGTGCCGCATTCCAAAGCCAGCTTGGATAAAAGCCAAGCAGTGTGGGCCACTGGGCCTCAGGGAGAAGCCACCCCCAGAGCAAGCTGCATCATCAGGCAGCTGAGCGAATTGGAACTGCAGAGGTCCAGAGATGGATGAATACAGGAATGGAAACAGATGTCGAACGCAAGCAAAAGGGGGCAGAGGAGAGTCTATTGCACCAGGTGGCTTTAATAACCAAACCGTCTCTATTGCTCTTTTTCTCTCTCTCTCCGTTCATTTTCTTTCTTTCATTTGTTTGTTTGTTTTCTCCTCCTCTCAGAACAATGAGCCTCAGGTTTTGTATCGCTGCTTTGTCTCAATGTTATGGGACAGCCAAATAAATAGAAGCTGGTTGCAAGCTAACATCCACCCCCCCCCAGTACCTACTCTTGTCGGAGAGGTTGGAGGGTCCTTGGCGCAGGCGATTTGCTGCTCTCTCGATTCCCTCTGCTTTTTAAAAATATTTGTAATAGACCTTTTAC